ACGAACTCCCTTCGTCCGTATCAGCACTGATTGAGGGCACTTGGCCGGCGGTAGCTGAGGAGTGAAAGGCCCGAGCCAAAGTCTCGCTCGCTCTCTCTGTTGGAGGATTTGTTTGGAGAGCAGGTACCTTATTTATGCTTTGGTTTGCCTTCATCTTAGTTTGGTATTCAACACCTTGCACCGCTCCATGTTCACACACCTACGCTACTGATCTTACTGATTATCTCATTGTGTTAGGTCTTTTGTTAAGTTGAGTTTGTTATAATAAATATCTTTCCTTATATCGTGTCCTTTCCACGGTCTTTGCCAGGCCATGACAGTAGGCCAGTGCAAACTATTCCTACCCCAGAAACCTCAAACACCGACCCAAACCAAAATCCCATCAGGGTCTATATCCTTACCCCAACCCCATCATCGCCTACCCTAAGTAGGGTTCGCATCCCCAACTACCTCACCCTCACCCTTACCAATCCCTACTGGGGGTGTGGACCCCCTGGAGTCCAATGACCGTTGGAAAAACTCTGGATAGAGAAACTGGGCACCACCCCTGCCCTCTCCTCCTCCCTTCAGTCCACGGTCTGGATCAACACACTCTCACTCCCAACCCGTCCTATAGTGACGTTATGTCAGGATCCTTTGGTGTCACTATCAAACGCAGTGGGGGGGCCCTTTAGCATTGAGTGTCAACTATCAGGGCGTCCCATTGACTTGCATAGAGCTCCCTGAACGTTGGTAATAGACGAGTTGAGAAATGCTCTCCGCAGATCCATTCTCACAGCGTTTATCAAACTTTTTCTTACTCAATATGAAGCCACACTTATAGTTTTTACTTCTTTATTTTAATTGTATAATGTCTGACTTTTGTTTCCGTCAGAGAGTGGGGGCTCAGAATACTGAAATCTGTATTGTTTCAACATTTTTTCCTTCTAATGTTGTATTATTTTCTAAACCACGCACTGTTATTTCCCAACGTTCAGGCAGCTCTATGCAAGTCAACGGGACTCCCGGATCCTGACATAACGTCACTATGCGTTGGGAGTGAGAATGTGTTGTCTGGACCCCCATTGGCACCCTGTTCCCTCCCCCCTAACCACCACACACAAACCACCAAGTTGCAACAACCATCCGCAGATCAATAGTCCAGTGCAAACACCTCACAACCCTGAACGCCAACTATAACCCTGTCTCACTGCTGGTGTGTTCGGACAAACATGCTGAGAAACGACAGAGAGAGAATTTACAAACGTTTACTTTTTTGTAGAAACCATAAAACCCACGGTGGTCAATGGAGGGATTGTAAAACACGGGTATCTGGAGGATAGTCTCGCCTCTTTCTCCTTTGCTTTATTCAATCCCCTTCCTCTCCTGATGCCCACTTTGCTCTCCTCTAAATGACGCCTCAGCAGCGAATGTATTCAAAGCAACAAAAGCAGCGGGCTAAACAAAGCAAAGGGAGAAGGAACGTTTCAGGCCACACATGATATGAATAATACTGGAATTACCCTGGATGGCAGGATCTTTTGCAATTGAGCTGCCTTCAGCAAAAAAAATACTACAATGGCTGTGAGCTATTGAATATTTATAGGGCGTCGTCTGTAGGCTATGGTCCGGGGAAAGCAGTTTGTATTCTTTATTGAGCTAATATATATTACTCACACGTGCTTAGAAGTTGAGGAACAAGAGTTTCACTTTATAAGAGTTTCCTATTGCTGCTTGTCCTCCATTATGTCCCGACATGACAGCAGAGGAGGTGATCATTTTGTTCTTATCCTCCATGCATAAACAACAGAGCTGAAATGCCGGCGAAAGGCAAAGAAAACACATTCCCCCGGAGAGCTTTAAAGCGTCATAAATCTCCTGCCTCGATAGTGAAACAGTGGAATAATGAACATTTCATCAAACGCTGATAGCTTTATATTCCTGAAAGTTACTCGACTTCTCAAAAAGTTCGGTAAAAGTCCTAAAAGTCAGCTCGTACTCTGAGGGAAAAAAGGCCTTCAGAGGCTCCTTGGCCTCAGAGTGGGATTGCGGGTACGTTGCTTTCACATTAAATATATCTTTCTGTAATGGATGCTAGTTGAACATCTCATGCTCTGTAAGCAGCCAGTCTGTTGTGGAAAGTAGTTTCAGAGATTTGCATAATGTTGAGTCCAACTCTGACGTTAGGTGATGAGCTCTTTCTCACAGAGTTGAGGGATAAATGAAGGAAACAGTATTTGGCTTTTGATAAAAATACTTTCAAGGATCTTCTTGTTTTCAACACATTCTTAGACATCTGTTTCATGGCGGGAATCGCACCGTGACGTACGAAGCTTAATGTTTAAACCTCAGAAACCAGAGTTAGCTAACACGTCTCAATGCACGTTTTATTTTAACTACAAAGACACTCTTCTCATAAGCACTAGGCATCTAATGGATCAGACTAAGCTCAAGTGTCTTTCTGTTCTCGACTGTCAACATCGTCTATCTCTCATTTCAATGTGCTGCTTTAACCACATCTTAGAGTTTGCAGAGGTAAATTAAGTAATTATAAAAGGAAATTAAAGCACAAACTGACTTTTTTAAATATGGATTTCTCTGTTGAACAGCAGTGTGTTGAACGTGAGAAGGCGAGAGCTGTTTAATTCAGTTGTGCTTCAGGCAATGTAACATGAGTTTCATGAGTCAACGTGTTTGATTTATGAGCCATTTAAAACAACAACAGTAGAGACAAATAAATATTGAATTAAGTCAGCATAAGAGTGTTTGTGTACTTATTCTTCTGTTAACTTAATCCAACGAGATATCTGATTGAAAACATCTTAAACAAATTATGTATTTTTTTGTTGTTGTTGTTGTTTTGAGTCACATGATTTGGTTTTTGAGAAGATTTTGAGTTTGTTAAGTCAATGTGTTTGTTTTATTACAAATCTAAAACACTAGAGTAATATATATATATATACAGAGCTCTCAAGTCTCAATTTTGTAAACAAACTGTTTNTGTCAGTTATGGGGAGAGTAGGGGCTCAGAATACTGAAATCTGTATTGTTACAGTGTGTGGTTTAGAAAAGAATACAAAATTAGAAGGAAAAAACGCAGAAACAATACAGATTTCAGTATTCTGAGCCCCTACTCTCCCCATAACTGACAGCAACAAAAGTCCTACATTATTCAATTAAAATAAAGAAGTAAAAACAATAAGTGTGGCTTCATATTGAGTAAGAAAAAGTTTGATAAACGCTGTGAGAATGGATCTGCGGGTAGCATTCGCTGACCTGGGAGTGAGGATGTGTTGTATATGGATAGTGCACCAAAGAGACTGTGACTCTCAGGAGTTCACCAGCAGTGAAAGTGGTCGTCTGCAGACATAGGACCCTGAGAAACACTCCCCCTGTCCTGCACTCTGCTTGATATAATCCCACTCATTTAACATGTTTCACCAGAAACAACAACAAACTCACCTGTTGGCATTTTTTCCCGTTCTTCCACAACATTTTGTTTTTGGATCTGAAAACACTGGTGTCATATCACAATATATTGAACTTTATGACATGTTGAAAGATTGCATTGGTTTCATGTTTATGTTGATAAATGTGAAGTCAATACAAGAGTTTTTTTTATCACAGCAGAATAACGCTCCATTCAGACCATGCTTCCTCTGTCAGAGTCTCACTCAGAAACACTGAACAGTCTTTAACAGTGGAGAATAATCAAAGTCCTCCCATCAGTGTCCTGCTCTGAAGGAAACATCTGAATTATTCATCATGGGCAACGAAACCAAACTTTTAGAAACAACTAAAGAAATGATCCCTGAAAGAACAGCCTTGGTTTGTTCTGGGTGTTTCTCAGGGTCTTATGTCTGCAAACGACCACTTTCACTGCTGGTGATCTCCGGAGTGTCACACTTCTACAAAAGGGAAAATGTGGATCCAATGCACTGAGTACAATGTCTAATATATTTGTGTTGTCTTTTCCTCCACCTGCAGCAAGAAGCACCTGGTCGCTGTTCTGTACTTCAGAGGTCTGATTCGAGGCCGTGAACATCAGCTGATCCTGCAGAAATTCACGGAGCTCAAGAAGACACAAGGCAGAGCAGACGAAGACAAGAGCCACGTTTTATTTCGTGACATGCAGATCCCTGCAAAGACAGACTGCTTCTCCCATCTGCCTTTCTCCTGCCTCAGCTCCCTGCTTCCCGACAACTAGGGCAGCAAGGACGGAGGACTTTTGACAGAAACGTTTTTGACATATCGCAAACACGGCTGACTAAAGTAACAAACAACAACTGTTGTACAGAATCAGGGTCAGATTTATTATCAAACTAGACTTGTTACCTTCAAAATGTTATTCATGAACCTAAAACATCTGTTTGGTTTCAGGATATAACTTGGATATTCGTCCTTTTTTATTATTGTTAACGAATTCCACATTAAAACCCAAACAAGCAAAAGCCCTCATGTAAGAACCATTCATACACATTGACTTTTATTTTTTTAAACTGGCACATATAAACATTTAACATGTTACAAATTAAAACGTCTCACACATTGTACGATCCACATTCTCCCTTCACCCATAAAGCCCAAAAAAAATACATTTCCACTGACATCATTACTTTTTTATTTGAATTAATTTGAAGTTCAAAACATATATGGATCTAAGACAAATTCAATGCAAATTCATTTTTATGTTCACCATTATCTTCATCAAGGCTTGCCAATAACTCAATTACCTTGGTTGGTGATTGGTTACTCAAGCTAAGAAATCGTAATGACATCATGAAGTGGGCAAATTCTTATCAGCTCATTTATATAAATGGATCAGAACAAAAAGAGAGAGAATCTTTTTTCTTAAAACTTTCAGAATCTCTTTACACAGAGGGGACACATGTTGATGTAGAAAAGACATGAAAAAGTGGATTTTGCATAATAGGTGACCTTTAAGTTGACATGAAGTTAAAAATCAATCAAGAAAATAAGTCCACTATACAGATTAACATAACAAATGCAGCCTGACAAAGGAGTGAGAAATTGGATGTCTCCTCCAACTCACAGCCAAATGTAGAGAACACATATGTTTCCAATAAAATAAATCAATAAATGTGACCCATGAACTCCATTACACAATAAGAGTGTATCCAGTATCGTGAGGAACTGCAGGATACATTTCTAAGGAAAAAACATTTAGCCAACTGGACCAGATCAATTCATTAAAGATTGTGAAACTTTGTGAGAAGCTGCAGATTTGATAAATAAAAAGCAGATTTCAGGGGAGTTTTTCTCAGCAGTGGGATTATCCTATTGTTGACTTTAGTTTGGGTTTAAAATGTAAAACTGATAAAACTGTAAGAAATCTTTTGTGTCAAGCGCTGTGAAAACCCAGCATACTGTCTTTGAGACGTTTAAAGTGTGTGTGCAAGCGCTCCAAACTCCCTTCAATCTAAAGAATTAGAGCTTTCTTTTGTAAAATGTGAATTTTTCCTTTGTTTTCTGTCAAATCTCTGATGTCACATGACCCTGTGTGATCACTCAAGCAGGAAGCCATGCGAAAACGAGCTTAATGGGATTTTCTTTGCACCTTTAATGTATTTATTTAATCGTAATTCTGCTTTCTTGTCTTTGTAAATATGTATTTTCAGTTTTTGTGACCTTTCTGTTTTGATTGACTAAAGTTCTCATAATTCCTGACAATTATATGAATATATATATATATATGAAATACTTCAGTAATTGTTTCCCTATCAGTGTAAAGCGAACCAAAATGAATTACAGAGGAAATTATAATGGATCAACAATGTTTTATCTTTTTTTAATAAAAAATATGAAACCTGTTTAATTAATTTCACGAATCTCTTACGACTATATTTACGTGTGAATAAACTTGGTTTGACATGAGGAAGCTTTTCAACGTTTATGAGTTTTCAGTAAGACGATCAAAGGTACTTTTAAAGACACAAATATATGAAAATCAGTTTATCTATCATTACATGTCAAATTTAGCAGGAACGTGCCACACCTTTTCCCCTGATTGTAGTAGGAGTGTCTCTGTGACCCTCAGGAGTTCACCAGCAGTGAAAGTGGTCGTCTGCAGATATAAGACCCTGAGAAACATCCAGAACAAACCAAGAGTTTCCTTTCAGAGATCATTTATTTATTTGTTGACTTGAGAAATGTGTTTCTAAAGAGTTTTGTCTCGCTGCCCACGATGAAGTGTTCAGATGTTTCCTTCAGAGCAGGACACTGGTGGGAAGACTTTGTTTCTTCTCCACTGATGAGGACTGTTCAGAGTTTCTGAGTAAGACTCTGATGGAGGAAGCCTTGTCTGAGTGGAGCGTTATTCAAATGTGAAATCAAAATGTCCACTTAAAATTGTAATGAAGATTATTTTCACTCAACACTTATTAAACCTGTACATTTAAAATGGAAATACACGTCAATACATTCATCCTTTTCCATCTCTGGAAACGTTTAAAGTGCACCTATCATGCTATTTTTAGGCAATAGGTCTCAGATATATAAAAATATATAAAAAACATGTCTATGAAGTGTTTTACTCAAAATACCAAACAGAGCACCCATTCTAGCCATGCCTCATATACCTCTATTTCACTTCCTGTTTCAAAATAGCTGATTTGGGGTATAAAGCTAAAAAAAAAACAATTGATAAAAAAAAGGAGGATTATAGGATTATATGTACATAAAAATACATCTCACTAGAAAATAACGGGTTATTTAAGGCACCTACAACACACCTCTACATTATTTGGGATTAAGTGGTGGAAAAGATCAAATAATATTCAATATATATAACTGTTTTTTTCGTATTCCCGCAGGCGAAGTATTAACAAAGCTTACATTATACAAATGTAATGCAATATACAGACTGTTTAGCTTATGGTGATCAGCAGCCCTATGAGCTCATTCTCTCAGTGTATCATCAGGAATACAGAGACACACACACATCATTTAAATAAGAGTTTTTAAATTAAATGATAGGTTAAGAATAAACATCTTAAAGTAAATAACAATAAACAATAGCCCTTAACCCTGTAAGGCCCCCAGTTGTAATTTTACAACATTACTTGAAGCTATCCTAAAAAAGTCAGTAAATGTTTTGTTTTTTTAAAAGACAACATTTACATAGTCAAAAGGTCCTTTTGTTCAGCCTCACAATGCTATTGGGTAGTAAATGTGTTATAGGTCCTGCCCTCTGGCCATACACGCCAGGGATTTTGGGCCCCATGGAAATATATCACATTGGGCCCCACCACCAGGCCCAGGCCACGCCAACCAAGCACAATTGCTGTAACCACACCTCCAGAACCCAACCGACTCTTATGCTTTAAATAACTCTACCTGTACAGGCTTGTTGCATCTATCTTGTAGTCCAATACTAACTGCACAATATTTGCTGACACTGAGCTGTGAAAATATAACACTTATGGGGGGACAGGGCTGCTAAGTCTAGAGATGGATCTGTTGGTCCTGGCACCAGGGAGAGGGACAACTGATTTAGTATGAATAGCTGCTAAAAATGTACCTGCCTTTACTAAATGTCAGCCAAAAGAGGAGTTAAATTAAAAACCTGTATAGATATTAACAGTACTTAATGTCAGCTTAGTACAAAAAAGCATAATTATTATTATTTACAATGGACTACGCGTAGCTACTGTAACAGACACATTTCCGCCACTCATAGACCACACCCACCTTTTCTTTGAAAAACTGGGTGACATACTGTCGCCCTTTAGTCCCTCTCTCTTGTCTTTCTCTCCTTTCTTTTCTTTTTTGAAAGCCTGACTTTGTGAGTCGTTGAGACATGGTACTACGTAAGTACTAGCATCCCTGCTCCTAACATGCTCTCACTCTCTGCTAGAAAGTGCCAGTGGTGATGCACCGCTTTGGAGGCAGGACCTAACCATTACATGTAAATAGAAGGGGGTGTACAGAAGCTTTGGATAATTAACTTTTGGAAGAAAATAAGTTAAATGAATTGTAAGTTTAGTGAGTACATTATCAATATAACGTCCTATTAATGTTAATTCTTGATGAATGATGAAAGGTTACTTAAACATTTTTTTCTTAATGTTGTAAAATTGTATGGTCCCCCGTGGTGAGGGTGTTTGGGGTGGCCAATAGGGTGACCAGGATTCAGCTGGGGGTGGCCGTGGCCACTCCCAGCCACCCCCCAGCTCCGCCACTGCCGGTTATACCACAAGGTAAGTTCCTTTTTATTTCCTGCTTCTTCACACACATGCTCTGTGCAGTACAGGTTAGCTCTGAGTGTTAGCGATGCTAATGTAAACATGCACCGACCATATTACGTCCAAAACAGTCGGGCATTGTTTCTGATAGCAACGTCCCCTTTAAATTGAAATTTAGTTTTTACATTTGAATAATGCTCCACTCAGACAAGGCTTTCTCCATCAGAGTCTCACTCAGAAACTCTGAACTGTCTTCAACAGTGGAGAAGAAACACAGTTTTTCCATCAGTGTCCTGCTCTGAAGGAAACATCTGAACACTTCATCGTGAGGCCAAACTCTTTAGAAACATATTTCTCAAGTCAACAACTACAGAAATGATCCCTGAAAGAAAAGTCTTGGGTTGTTCTGGATGTTTCTAAGGGTCTTTTGTCTGCAGACGACCACTTTCACTGCTGGTGTTAGACTTTTCTGTTTGCCGTATGTATGAATCAGAGGAAGCTCATACTGTATATATGTAGGTAGAACTAAACCTTCCCTCAACCATACTGTAAACATCTTATTTCCCATAAAGACTCCACTTTATAAAATGCGATTGAACTCATGTGATTGTTGTGGTGTCAGCCAGGTACAGTTTCACTTTCACCATCTATTAACTCTGGTGCTGATGCAAGTCAAGTGTGTGCGGCAACTGTTTAGAAACTTGGCTCATTTGTGCAAAGTGTGCCAAGTTGCACTACAGCTCGACCAAGACAGTTCTTGTGTCATTATGGAAAGTTTTGTTCATTTTCTTTGAAGTGAAAAAGTGATGTTTGACAGAAAGCATCAAAGCAGTTCCTCTTCTTCTTGACATGTTTGTCTTGCGTCATTGTGAGATTATCACTTTTTCTTTTCAGTGAATATGTTATGACAGAAAAACCCAAAACACTTCCTCTTCTTTTTGATTATCTTTCCTCATAAATACAATACATGCAAAAAGAAACAAAAGACATCCACATACTGTAAGTCTTTAAATACAAATTATTTCCTTTATTTTGTAGAATGTTTCTTCATGCAGAAGCAAAACAGCAAAACACCGCTCTTTTATGAATTGGTTTCTGCCTTCTCTGTTTTCTAAGGAATTGAAACCTTCTTGGATTATTTTTAGTATTTAAATGCAGCTTCTGACATGTGCTATACAGTGAGATGTTTTGAAAGGTATTGTTGCTTTGTGCCTTGGCATGATGAGATAGGCAGTATTATAGAGTTAAACGTGAATTTGTGGAGGATAATCATTGAGTAATTGTTTTAGTGTTGATAGTTAAATTAAAATGCTGAAGATGACATTTGAAAAACAGAACTTAACTTAACTGTCCTGATAAGGATAATAATGTTCCTGTATTTGTAAATCAATGTAGGCTCTAAAAGCACACCTTCACCCACAGTCTGAGAAGCTTCTGATGCTTTCACTCTCACAACACACAGATGCACACCTTGAAATACCGTGCTATCTCAAAACAGCACCTAACCAACATCCTGACATCAAATGTGTTTTGCATGTTGTGCTCACTTCAGTTTGAATCCCTGCATGAACTCCACACACCTCTGAGCCGTGCTGCCTTCAGGAGCCATGTGTTTAATGCTTCGCGGCTGTTTTCCCCGCAGACGACGCAGAACAAAAGGTAAGAAACACATTTGACAACACAGCATTTTTCAGATTTAAAGTTACCAACAGGGTTTATGGATGACAGATGGCACCAGGAAAGACATTTACATCGGCCAATGTTAATGTTGGCTGTGGAAGATACAATTCAGCTAACCTGCCGCCATAGCAGACAGGTTTTTCTCATAAATAGGAAATATTATTCAAAGAGAAATAGTCAGAGTTAAGGTTACATTTTATTTTGGATATGTTTTCTGTCTGGTACCACTTACTCAAGTGGCAACATGAGGTTTCAACAACTTGCAATTAAAAGTGCTTTACAAAAAACATTACAAAAAACATTAAGACAGAGACGGATTTCCACCAGTCACTGGAATATGCTTCCAACTGAGCTAAACACATACACACGCTTCCACTCTTTTCCTTTTTTTTTATAAACAAACAACCAAACAGACAGCACAATAGCAGTTGCCAAACAAGTAGGATGACAACAGTGCGATTCGAGTCTGACAGGACAAAAAACAAAACAAAAATAAATAAAACAAAACAAAAAAGGACTGAGACAGGACAAATAAAACAACAACAAAATCAAAAACTAAAGGCTCTGAGTCAAAGTCCATTATTAATAACGTAGAAATCAAACAATGTGTATAAATGGAACAAAAAGACCAAACATATCAAATAAAAACATAGCACTTGTTGGTCAGTCAGCCGCCCACTAATCACAGTTTAACAGCTCAGGTCCACCACCCTATTGTACAGAGACATCCGGCATGTCCAGCTCCCGTATATACTGTACCTGTAGAAGGGGTTCCACATCTTGTGGAATTTCCCCAGGGAGCCCCACACTATGCACCTTATTTTCTCGAGTTTGGCTGAATTTAGGACTTCTTTTAACCACAAGGTGTGTGAAGGGGTTATTGGACACATGAGCAATATCAGGCGTCTGGCTAGTAAAGTAACAAAGGCTATGTAGGCTGTCTCCAGAGAAGAGAGTGGCCGTGTGGGTGGGGTTACACCAAACAGTGCGGTCA